ACGCTTTTATTACAATAATACTAGTATTTTTCGTTCATTATTGTTTTAAGCTTATTTTAAAAATTATTTTTAACTTTTTAGTTCGATGTGCTTTAAAAGCGTGTTTTTTTAGTTTTTTTAAACTATATTTATTTTTTACTTTTTAGTTTCAAGTTATGATAGTAGTTATGGTTGTAACGGGTAACGAGAAATGAGGGTTCGATTCCGGAGAGGGAGTCTGAGAAACGGCTACCACATCCAAGGAAAGCAGCAGGCGCGTAAATTACCCACTCCCGGAACATGGAGGTAGTGACGAAAAATGACGATACGGGAATCATCCCTCGTAATCGGAATGAATACTTTATATCTCTTTATTAGAATAAATCGTGTTAATATATAAATTTTAATAGTAATTAGAATATATATACAAATAATGCAACTTAAGTACGTAAACGTATCATGCACTAGGTATAACCGTATTTTGTGGGCGGGCGGGTCGGACTAACGTTATACCTGAGGTATAAACGGTGGTAGGAATATATAAATATATATACGTAAGGCGCATTAGACGCGGGCGGTATTGGTCAGTCAAAATAAAAATTTGTTTATATATATATAATATTGATGACAAGCACGCGTGTACGGGTACGATAACCAAAAATAAATTTATACAGGAATAGTGTTGTCGTCGTGAGGTGAACGAGACATGGGGTGAGGTGAATGCGTTATGACAGTCTAGTCTAGACGACGGAATATGCGATAACGCGTGTTGTTTGGAGAGTTACAAACATACATACATACATACATACATACATACATACAGGTGAAACTAATATAAGCGTGTTAAAAAAAATTTTGGAATAGTGGCCCTTTTTAGCCTTGTTGGTAGGCAATATAAGATGGTAACCACTGCTTGTATCTGATTAGAAATTGCTAACTTCATACTCATAACTTATCAAATATCATCAATAACGATCCCGTCAACATTTACTAAAACTTATATCATGTATTGCACTAAGCGGCTAACTAAATATTTTAGTAAATTCTCGCTTGAAGTGCTAGATGTAAAACTCGCACGAGAATGGTGACACTTGGATTTCACAAAATACGTTTCGTTGAGTAACTTTATCTATAATCGTGGTTATAGTTAAAATAATAACGCCGTATACATATAAATAAATGTATTTATACACAAATAACAAAATAATTATTATCTTTTTTTATGTATTTATTATCTATGAAAAACACTGATACGAAATTTTGAGGTTAAAATGTGAATATTTCAAATTTGAAAATAGTGTAAATTTTGGCGGTCAGATCTGGTTATTGTGAATAACAAAAAAATTTGAATAATTAATGTGTAAATTGTGTTTTTATGTATTTGTAATAAATATTTATTTCATTCATTATTAAAGTTAACAAGTAGATTATTTAACTGTGTATGTTTCTTTTTTTATTATTGTTTTTATGACAAATCCTATATTGCGATCCATTTAAACTATGTCGCGAGTAAGTGAAATTAAGTGATAATATCTTGCATTATATTTGTGTTATTTTTTATGTTTTTGTCTATTTCACTTATAAGAATAAAAATTTGGGAAACCCTATTACTAGTAAATGTTTGTGTAAAATCATCATAATACAATGGGTTGAACAAATTTTCTTAAAATTATTTGGAACTTAAACTGAACTGATGGGTGAATTATAAAACTTGTATTGTTTATTTCAAAGAAATATGAGCTACAAAATTTTATACCAAATATTTTGAAGTATTATTTCTAAATTCAACATATTGTATCATTTTTTTTAATTGTACAATATTGTTTATTGTGTGGTTACTTATTTAAAATCAAATTTAGTATTTCAAATTCAATTAGTTATGATTAAATTTTTAGGATATTAGATCATTCTTTATGAAAGATGCAAGAAATAATCCAAGTACCAAAGAAAAAGTAGATATTACAAAAGATCAAAAGAAAAAAAGTAGAAAACGTCATGTTTTATCCAGTGACGAAGAAGATGAAATAGTTCCTACTTCAAATAATTGCAATTTGAATAAACATACTGAAAAAAGTCTTAAATTAGAAGACATATTTGGGAATGAGCCAGTTAAACAAACATCTTCCAAAATGGTTCTTTTTATATTTTTTATTAAAATAGTAAAGTGTTAATAAAAATAATATATTTTTTAATATTGTAATCCATTTGCAAGGGTATCAGTTTACATATTATTATAAAATGAAGCCAATATTTTCTAAATTTTATTTCCATAATAAATTATTTTTCCATTGAATACTTTTTGCTTCAATCTTTCTGAAATGTTTTCCCTTAAATGAGTTAAATATTCCTTGTGAATATATAAGGGTAGTGAACATTTTTATTATGTATGTTGTACATAAAAATTTGGTTAATGTTTTACTCTTATTGATTAAAATTAATTTCAATTTTATGTTTATTAAGTAAGTTATAAATATATTTTTTATTTATAGGTAAATCAATTGCAAAATGAAAGCAAATCTAATGGTAATGTGTTAAATGCGGAAATTACTACAAAAGTAAATGAACTTCTATTATCCCATTCAAAGTCTCCAATGACAAAAGAACTTCAAATTTCACCTCAGAAATTAAAATCCTCATCAGTGTCACAAAATTTAAAAGAACACCAAATAAACATTGATTCTAAAAGTGATAAAATAGTATCGTCCAATAAAATCAAATCACCTACACTTGATTCATGTAGCCATGTCAAATCTAATTCAAAAAGAAAAATTTCTCCATTAACTACACCTGAAAACAAAAAGTTTAAACACGGAGGTCTGAATTCAGATTCTCAAGTTAGTAAAATATTGTGTAATTTTTTTTTTTTTTAATTCATTACATTTGAATTATAGGAAAGTGGATATGGTACTGATTCTGTACAATCATCAAGTAGTAGTGTATCTTCTAATATACCTGAATCAGTTGAAACTAAACTTTGGGTAGATAAGTATAAACCTATATCATTAAAACAAATTATTGGTCAAACTGGAGATAAAAGTAATGTCAATAAATTACTCAAGTGGTTAAAAGTCTGGTATACTAATCATGGCGTAGGTGTTACAAAAAAACTAACTAGACCGAGTAAGTTTAAACAAGAATAAATCTGTAAATTTAAAAAGATTAATAATATTAAAATCATGTATTAAATAAGTTCAAGTGTAAATTTTCATAATATTTTTATAATTAAAGAAATATTTAACTAATAGAAAAATGTATATGATTTAATAATTGATTTTAATTTGAATATTACTTTCACTTTAATGACAGTTTTTCAACATAAAACTGATAAATAAGAAAATTACCAATTTAAAAATTGAACTGTTTATTTGAGAAATAATGCAAATGTACAGTTAAAAATAATCTCAAATTTTTATGATAAATTTAATTTTTGATTTCATGACTGAAATAATAATTAACTAACAAAGGTGAAAATAATAGAATTAAGAAATTTGAATTTCTTTCTTTTTTAATCAATTCTCACATAGAGGTAACAAATTATACAAGTACTTAATAGTTTTTTATAATTTTTCTGAAAATTAAAATACAAAATATTTAATGTCAGTATAATACTAAATTTAATTGCTATAATAAGTATTAATTCCTATATTATACTTATAAATTACAAAACTTGTAATAAGAATATAATTAAGGAACTGGAGTTAATTTTTAGGAGTTTTTAGAAAAATTAATTAGATTTGCATCTAAGTGTTTTTTCTGATAGTGATTATCATTGTCAAACATCTATAGTTGTTCCAATTATACAGCATCCCACCTGTGCTGGGTTTTTTTGATAGTGGTTAAGAATAAAATAGACTTAAGTTCACATTTTTTATTAATCAAGATATTTATTTTTTATACAAACATATAATACAACTGTTAACATTTTTGGATGTTTTATAACTGTAGAGTTAAATAAAAATATTTTGAAATCATTGAATCATAAATAAAACTACCTAAATAAATAAAAACATACATTTCTCTTTTACTAATAAATTAAATAATTATTTATTTTTCATTCTTACAAAGATTTTTTTTGTTTTTAGGTCCTTGGGCTAAAGATGATGATGGTTCATTTTTCAAAGCAGCTTTACTCTCTGGTTCACCGGGTGTTGGTATGTTTTAATATTTTTGAATATATTAAAGTAAAATAGTATTTTAATTTCTTTTATTTTAAAGGCTTTTAATAAAATAATAAGTTTTTAGTTATAGTTGATTTAAATTAGTAATGTTTCTTTATAGTCATAATTTTTTTTCCTATTATATATTTATTTATTTTTTAGAGCTTTCAAAAATGTATAAAAAGTTGTATACATTCATTTTAGTTTTTAAAATGAAATAAAATTTTTTTTTCTTACCTGTAAACTATATTTACATAATAAGAATTTGTTACATTATAGCCAAATATCTGCTACAAATTCATGGTTTTTTTTTAAATTTCACTAGTTAGTTTTATTAATGTTTAAATGATTTCAAATTTTAGGGAAAACTACTACAGCACATTTAGTATGCAAAGAATTAGGTTTTGACATTGTTGAGTTTAATGCTTCCGATACTCGTTCCAAAAAACAGTTGCAAAATAATGTATCTGAGCTTTTATCTTCTACTTCATTGAGCCCTTATTTGGGAGGGAAATCAGTAACTAAGAAACATGCACTTTTAATGGATGAAGTTGATGGCATGGCTGGTAATGAAGATAGAGGTGGTGTTCAAGAACTAGTATTATTAATAAAAAATTCTAAATGTCCTATCATATGTATGTGTAATGATCGAAATCACCCGAAAATTCGAACTTTAGCCAACTATTGCTTCGATTTAAGATTTCATAAACCAAGACTTGAACAAATTAAGGTAAAATTATGTAGTTGTAGTAATATTGTTACTAATTATGGATAAAAAAAAAATCATTATTTGAACTTGTCTTAGTTTTTTTTTATTATGATTGATTATAAATTTTATGAAACTATAATAATTATAGTATAATTATAGTAACTAATATAATTATTATATTAGTTTATTTTTATTTTATTTCAGGCATCTATGATGTCTGTTTGCTTTAAGGAAAAATTAAAAATTTCTCCAGAAATATTGTCATCAATTATAGCGAGTACCGACAATGATATCAGGCTTACTCTTAATCATTTGTCAATTATTGCAGCTGGAAAAGATAATTTAAATATTAACAAAAAATATGTAAAAATGGTATGTATTATTATAAATTTGATATTTTACAAAAAAATCTTAGACAGATTAACTAAGAGGTTTACATAAGAAAAGGCATCTGTTAATTTTAAAATCTAACACTACTATTATATAACCTTAATCTTTTTAAAAATAGAACTTGTAAAAAATATTGAAAAATTAATTTTTTTTATTAGTTTTAGTATAAATCTTTATTATCTACTGTTAATATTAAGCGAATTTGTATGCATAAAAAAATCAAATGTATAAAAATGTAAAAATTTTAGTAACATCAAAATTTGTTAACAGGGTCCATGGGATGTAGTAAGAAAAGTTTTTTCTTCTGAAGAACACAAAACTATGAGTATTAATGACAAATGTGATTTATTTTTTTATGATTACAACATTTCTCCATTATTTGTTCAAGAGAACTACTTGTCTGTGATACCACATGATGTCGAGTAATATAATTTTTTTTTTTTGTTAAATTTATTTAATATAATATAAGTTTATATTTTCCAGAGGACCAAAATGGAAGAAATTTGAAAGATATTCATTAGCTGCTGATAGTATTAGTTATGGTGACATAGTTAGTGCTAAAATAAGATCTTCCAATAATTGGAGTTTACTTCCAGCTCAAGTTAGTATCTGGCTTGTATAACTATTTAGCTCTATTTTTTATAAAAACATTTTTTTTTGTATCAAATAGGCAATTTTTTGTAGTTATTGTCCTGGTGAATTTTTAAAAGGTCATATAAGTAAACAAATAAATTTCCCCGCATGGTTAGGAAAGTTTTCAAAAGGAAATAAAATGAATAGGTTATTGCAAGAAGTACAAATTCATACAAGAATAAGGTACTTTTTATAATAATTTTTTCATTTAGTGATTAAAGACTGGATAGAAGCCTATTGTAATTATTTTTAGGTTGTCTGCTAGCAAAGAAGCAATAAACCTTGACTACCTAACTACATTAAGAAATTCAATTCTTAGACCTCTTCAAGAAAAATTAACAGATGGTGTTCAGGAAGCTCTTGATTTTATGCAGTACTACCAACTATCAAAAGAAGACTTAGAATCATTAAATGAATTGACTACATGGCCAGGTTCTAAAGATCCAATGTCAGACATTCCTGCAAAAGTAAAAAGTGCTTTTACCAGAGCATACAATAAATCTTGTGTAACTTTCCATGCTAGCAGAAAAAAAAAAGCAACAATCACAGATGATCAGGAAGGTTTATTAGATGATGAAGATACTATAGAAATAGTAAGCGAGGAAGAAGATGATGATATTCAAAATGACACAATGATTTCAGTAATAAAATTTCATTTAATTTTTATAAATACTAGATAAACTTTAATTCACTTGAATTTTAAAAAAATTCATTTTTGTTTAGATAAAAAAGAAGCCTACCAAAAAAGGTTCTTCATCACCACCAACATCAAAAACCCAAGGAACAAGTAAAGGAAGAAGTGGAGGTGCTGGAAGGAAAAAAAAGTAGTTAAACTTAAATTTTTGTGATTAAAACATTATTGTTTCTTTAGTATAACATATTCACCTTAATTTTTTCATAATATATATTACATTTTTTTTTTACAATAAAAAGATTAATAGATGGTTAATTTTTGTATTGTAATTATGATAATCCAAGACAAAGTATAAAACTACCATGAGTAAATAATGAAGTCTATGTTAAAGAGTGTTGTGCATTGGTAAATTTGTATAAATAAATATAAACTTTTTATTTATGTTTTGCTTATTCTAAAAAAAACAATATTTAAAGAATTCATATTCATTAATTTATTTAAAAAAAAAAATCAAAATCAAATGGAGCATAAATTATCTCTATTTGATTAGGTTTTTTTGAATCGTTTACTAGTAATATGTATTACTATGTTTTTTTTCTAATTATCTATATATATATAATATAGATATAGATATAATATTTAAGTAAATGTACATATAATTTTAATTTACTTGTAACTATAAAAAGAACTTTTCAGCCTAAAAAATCATTGTTAAATATTCTTAGAAAAAATGAATTTACATTTATCCTATTTGTTTATTTACATTTACTCTACTTCACCCTGTTTAAAGGTTATTAATATATTAATTATCTTAAGATTAATATTTTTAGGGCATGTTATTAAGAATAATTATTATATGAAATGACTCAAAAATTATGTAATTTTTAATGATAGTATATGATAAGATCTAATAAATTTAAATAAAAGCTTATAATCTTTTATTTGTCAGGTATTTCTGACATATTGTTTTGAACTAATCTTGTTCTATACTTCTGAAGAGGTTAACATACAGTGGGTCGAAAAAGTCTCCGTACACAGATGCCAAACTTTTTCAACAACATAAAATAGCGATTCAAAAGTTAAATAACTTCATATTTATAATACACATTTACTCAGAAACATATTAATATTGGTTTTTAGAAAGATGAAGCATATATACTAATTTGTTTACTTATTTGTATGGAAACTTTTTGGCTATTATTTTTCTAAAATTGTTTATATATATATATGTATAAAGTAAACTAATTAATATATATGCTTCAATTTTTTTAAACAAATATTTTTATGTTTATGGAAAATTGTGTGTTACAAATATGGCATTCTTCGACTTTTGAGTCGCTATTTTATGTTGTTAAAAAAGTTTGACATCGGTGTATGGAGACTTTTGACCCACTATATAAAACTATTTAGCAATTAAACTAAAATGATCAACAAAAATTGTCGTTGGAAATCTGAAGATTACAGCTTGGAAGAATATTTAAATGTGGTGTAGTTTCCCATAATTTACTACTTCAATGGTTAATTTACTATTACGTTCGTAATAACCAGATCTATTCTTTTCATTTGCGCGTATAAACACTTCACAATTGTATGTCTAATTTCATACACTTGTGCTGAAGTATATGTTTAAAGACATTTGATTTAAATCATTTTATTTTAATCGATTTGGTTGGGTAAGAATTTTCTCAGAGTAAATGTTTTCAAATAAAAAATAATATTGCTTCAAAATTATATACAGTGGTCATACTGTATATAATTTATTGAAGTCTTATAATTTTAACACTGATAGGAATTGATACTATCAACCGCGTTGAAAAAATTTTATGAACTTAATAATTCTTCTTACGAATTATCTTATATAATTGAAACTTATATAAAGTGCAATCATGTCATCAGTTGTTAAAGCAGAAGAAAAATCATCTACAACTGAACAGCCTAAGAAATTAAAACCTTGCTGTGCATGTCCAGAGACTAAAAAGATAAGGGACGCATGGTAATAATTGTCATATGTACTAAATCGAGAAAATGTTTTTTAATAAAATTATTTTTTTGATCTAGTATAATCAATCAATAATGATTAGATTCTGTTTAATTGTACTAAACTTGAATTTTATTAATGTGTTTATTAGTTTTTATTAATTAATATTACTAATTAATGAGTTATTATCTTCGATGCGAAATTGAGAAGGTTAATTTTACCATGATTTTTTTTTTTTTTTATGCCTGTTGCTACTTTTTCTCAGCTCTCACCGAACCGATTTCTTTCAACGATATGTCAAAAGATCACAAATTGTATCTAGTCGAAGATATTATCCATAAAAATTGAAAAAATTTCCCTCGTTCCCCGCAAATGGGGAAATCTACAATAAAATTACAATTTTTAAAATTCGTAAATTTTGTCATTTTTTTCACTTTTTTTTCTTAAAACATCAATAACTTAATTAAATTAACAAATCAACATAATGTTTTTTTTATTGGAAACTTTAAATATTTTTCTTTCATTTAATATTATTTTTTTAAAAACTAACACTTAACCTGCTAACAGGGGGGATTTAAAAAAGCAATTTTTGCACACAAGTTAAGCTTTTTCAATTTAATTTTTGAAAATGTTCCTGAAATATTAACACTTTTATTTAATCTTAAATTAAACCTTATATTATATACTGTACTATGAAAAAAAAAAATCGAAATATAGATTTTCTTCTTGGTGAAAATGGCTATCGTATTCCAAAATATCCTATTTTGTGTTTAAATTCTGGGTTTTGTATTTCATTTTATTTTAAAATATCTTACAAGGGGAATACATTGACTTTCATGAATATTATATAATTTAATTGACATAGAATAAAGTTTATTAGATATAAGAAGTTAAACTTATTTAAATTTTTTTGCTTTTTTAAAGTCCAAAAAGTAACTTTAAATTTGAATTAGCTTAAATTGTTAATTTTATTAACCGACAAAAGCGACGGACAGTTGCTGAATTAGTAACACTTTCATACTTAGGGTACGAGGTTCGAATCCACCTGTGGCAAATAGTATTTTGCATCTTTTTTTAGTTAGAAAAAAATTTTGAAATAATTTGATTTTTATCTCGTTTAGATTTAATAACTTCAATAAATATCAAGGTTCCCACCACTGTAGTCTCCCCTCTTAAGAAGAAATTTCTTAATATTATTTTATTATGTGGTTTTTTTTGTGGCTACGATTTATTTTTTTTAACCTTCATTTAACCTACATTTTTTAAATAATTACAATTTGTATTTAGTTGAAGATATTACCCTTAATAATTGAAAAAGAATCCCTCATTCAAATAAAAAATAGCTTAACCAGCTTATTCCATACAAACAATTAAAATATTTTTAAAGTATTTATTGTCGAATTAGATTTGATACGATAAAAGTATTCAACTACAAAAGTAAATAATTTTACTTTGTAATTTATTAGTTTTTTAACTCTATTTGTGTGTGCTACTACCAGTTCTGAATATTTTCATTGTAGAATTTTTTTAAACACCAAAAGTTAATTAGAAATGATTACTATTATTTCTATATAAGTTATTTATTACGATAAAAATGTAAGAAAAAATTGTACTTTTCTGATAAATTTACTGTAAATAGTAATTATAAAATTTCCTGATTGCATATTAATCTTAACAATTTCATTTTTTTTATTTAATAATGTTAATTTCATACTTGAAAGTTGAGCTAAAAGTTATGGTAATAAATTCATTTTTTTTTTATTATAAACTTTTCTTTAAAGGACGAAATAATGAAGGTTAAAAATTATTACTTTTAACATATTAAACATCAATATCAATAATAATTTGAAAACAATTCAATATAACAATTATATAATATATAATTTTATATTATATTTTTGAATTTAAGAATAACTAATCTGGATATAATTAAGGAAATAGTTGATGTTGCTTTTGTAATTATCCACCAATTACTTAGAATTAAACATTATATACAGATTTGCATCAAAGCGTTTCATCTTGCAATGATTTTAATCACTGTAAGATTAAATCTATACTGGATCCAACTATGCCACGTCCCCACTGTGCTGGGTTTTTTAGTAATATTATTTAATATGCACTACATTTAAAATACCTTAATATCTTGATATAAATATTGGAATTAATATTTACAGGCAATTATTTGCCCACCTAGATAATGTTATCTTTTTTTGAGGTTCAGGAATTAAGTTGATTTGTAAAGAAATTTAATTTCTATTGATTAGTTATATAGTGTTTTTCCATTATTCTTGTTTTAACTTTTTGTTGTTAGTAAGTCTAGATCTCATTAATATCTAGTCAATTAAATTCTATAATGAAATTAAAAATTGTTTTGTAATAATTGAAAATCATTTATTCTACCTCAAAATAATGTATCAACTACAATTGAATATTTTTTAATAAATACTAGAATTATAGACTTTAATACTAAAAATATTTGAGGAAAGTTATTATTTTAATTTTCATATAGTACATTATGTTATTTTTTTTAGTATTTTAGAAAATGGTGAAGAAAATTGTCAACATTTAATTGAAGCTCATAAAGAATGTATGAGGAAAATGGGATTTAATATTTGAACATGAAAAAAAAATATTTTAGAATTATTTTTGTTGATGTATATAAATTTGGATTTTAAATTATAGATAAAAGTTAAATTCCTATTGTTTTTGATTAAATTGGATATTTATTATATTTTATTCTTATTGTCAAGCAGTATTGAAATAAAATGAAGTTCATTGTGTATAGTAATTTTTATTATTTTAAAGTTTAAACATTAGATTAAATAATTTGTTAAATATTAACATATCATAAAACTTAATAGTTAAATATAAAGCACACACATGCACAAAACCTATAATTTATGCAACAGAGTTTAACATGTATTTACATAACAAAAACTAAAATATACTATGTGGTTAAAATTATGGATATATATTACAACTCCATTTTAATGAATAGTTATCACTCATACAGTTCTCATACTCGTGTTGCTATGGTATGCGATCAGATATTATAGACTTACTATTCTGAAAAATAATAACGTAAAGTCGTCATTCACTACAAAAAATGTAAGAAATATGCAAGATGTTACTAAAATTACTTCAAAATCTGTATCATTTGTCATTATTCCTCTGACAGTCACTAGTTGATACTGTTTAGATTTTAAAGTATGTAAAGATTTTCGTATGTGTGCCATAGTATTCATTCCACTTTCAGTCCTTAATTTATCATAATGATTACTAGGATCTAACAGTAACAATAAAATTGTTCCATCTGATAATTTTTCAACACCAACAACTGTTCGACTATGACCTAAAACAAAATTGTTTTTATACAATAGTCATTAAAAATTATAATCAGTTAAATCAAATACCATCGTGTTGAATGTAAACTGGAGGTATATATTTTTTACTTCTGTCATTAAAATGTTTGTATAACCATCGAAACATTTCTGGATGGGTGTTTTTTGGTCCAGTGGGCTTATAGAAATCAACTATTTGAGATCTAAAAGAGAAATATTTGTTATTATGTTAGTTATTCATATTATACATATAATAAATAAATAAAACTCTTTGGATGAATACTGACTAATCTTTTTGTTATAACTTGATTTAATATAACGTTTTCTATTTTTATAAAAATAATAATGAACTTAAAAATTTTAAGTGCCTTATGAAGCACTTCCAAATTAAAGAAATTTTATTACACAGTAGTAAGATTTTTTTGACACGTTAAACCAAAATGCTTAAATATGTACTAATTAAAATTTTTTGGTAATAAATAAACATACTTAATTCTTAAAGCTGTGAGCATTGTTACTACTTCTGTAGCACCTATCCATTTTTTTGTATTATATACTGTTCCCCCTAATTGTTCTTTGCCAGGTTCATCGATTCCCATGCTCCAAGATTTTTCCAAATGTTGTTGCAGCCTTGAAATGGATGGCATCCAAGATCGTGGAAGTGGTCCTTTTTCTACTTCCCAGACTCGTGAAATGTGCTCATTATAATCCAATTGTAACAGCATACTAGACATCAACATTTGCATATTTCTATACCCACAACCCCAGCCTTTATCTCCATAAGTTGATCTGTAATGATCAGTTGGTGATGCCAAATGTACTTCATTTACATTAGGAGATGCCATACTGAAGTGACGAATATATTCAATCAAATCTAACATAATTTTTTAAATAAAAGTAAATATATAACAAGTCATATAATAAATATCTGAGTGTTGGCTATGAATTATTGTAAATTTTTTTTTTTTACTCCATAAATATTAGATTTCATTATATAAAATAAAATTAGATCCTAGTGTTTTTGAAATTTATCTAAGTTAATATGAATATCTGGTAATCTACCATGGTCAGTTAAACTTAATTCAGAAATTAAATGTTACTAAAAGATATTTGTGATAATTTTTTCATAATAAGTGAAATTACCTTGAAGTTATTAAGTAAAATATTGGCAATATTTTGTAAAAAAATTATTTTAATATCAGTATTTTTGATTATTTATTTGAACAAAATATTATTTAAAATAAAGAGAAGTAATTCAAAACATTACTCGCATATTTTTTGAGGTTTTAATAAAACTAAATAGGAAATTTTATTGATATACCTCTTGTAGCAGAAGCACCTGTATCAAGTCCCTTACTTTCTGCAATTTTTATTTCGTACATCTTTTCATAGTAATCATAAACAGACATTTCACCACTTGAAACAGCTGCTTGTAAATTAGCCATTGTTTGCTGATTATAATTTCCTTTATTATCCATACCATAAGCAGCTTGTAATTTTTGAAAATCTTCTTTTTCTTTTTGTTTCATTCGTTCACGTTCTTGTTTTTCTAGTTGTTTAGCTAATAGTTGATCTTGATCAGGCAAATGGTCAGTGGGCGGTGTTGAACCTACAAATAATATTATATTTTTATTATGCTTATAACTGTGATGGTGTCACGTTTTCATTATTGTGAGAATTTATTATAATAAAATACAGACAGCACATCCGCTTCCTGAGATTGATCAATTAACAATTAACATTTATTGCTAAATTGGCAATAGTCCAAATTATTATAAAAACCCAAAAGACCTGGCTATCTTGGTCAGTCGATTCCAGTGCCTTGTGTCATCCGTCAGTCTCAGTACTCGGTTGTCGCTATCCGGCTTACTACATAAAGTCAAGTCTTTGTGTTTCCTTTTTAACCTACTTACTCTCTACCTTGACATTTCAGAGTGTTTGAAACTTGCACTTCGTTTGCACCTCGTACTTCATTATCCTCTCCTAATAACTAAATACTTGTGTCTTGCATTTCGTCTGCACCTTATACCTAGGTGTTACCCTTATTCCCTTCCTATAACAACAACCTTTCGACACCCATAGCTAACCCGGAGTGTCAGCCGAGCTCGGTGGCTACTGTACTATAACACGCACATAAATACCTAGACAGTAGGCTCATCCTCATCATTTTCTTCGTACGCTTTACTGTATGTTTTGTGTTACGACAAAATCATTCAATGAAGTTGTGGTTAACCCAGAATTTTGAGTTAAAAGCTATTATAAAAAAATTTCTTTTTGGAAAATTGTTTAACTAAAATGTACTTTTAGCATGAACTATGGTAGACTCAGATTTTCAAGTTCTCCAAGATACAACAAAGGCTACAGGCAAATCTTTATTAGGAAATAATTAAAGACTTATGACACATTAAAATTATTAATGCATACCCAAAAGTTTTGGTTCTTTTTTTTTAAAAAAAAACTTTTGGAATTTTTTTAGCAAATAAATATTTATAGCAATTTAGTATTGTGAGGTAAAAATTTGGCTACAACCATTCAATTATAAACAAGTTATGTACATTAACTGTAAGTCTCTCTCATCTATTGTTACAATAATATAAATTTGTGTTGCTCATATATACTAAGAAATGTATTTTATTATTTTTCATTTGAAAATCATGATGTTATTTTTTACGATAAGCTAACATAATATTTAATATATAACATAGTAAAAATACGTCTAGATCTTTATGTTATTTAAGTTATACATTACCAAGATCAAAATTCACATATAAAACTTATTAATATAAAGTTATTTTTCATATAAATTTAAGTTTAAAACAGAATTTAATACATATGAAAAAGATTAATTTTTAAACTTTGAACATATTGGTCACTTAGAGAAAAAATGTTATAATTATAAATAAAATACCTCTGTAATGTTGTTCAATATGTGCATCCAAGTCTCTTAAACTGTCAAAGTTTTTCATTCCACAAATTACACAGCCTTCATTAATATTTTCAAGTAATGGTATCCTTTGACTATCAGAATCCTGAGTAACAATTTATATCAAATATTAATAATAAATTACTATTGCAATAATTCAAATAAATTTTTAAATAAATTAGGAAATTGAAAAATGTCATAAATTTTTATGATGAAAAAATAATACTTACCAATTGTGGGCTAACAATATCATGATGTTCTTCATTAATATGAGTCTCTAAATGATCACACTGGTCAAAAGCTAATGGGCAGATAGGACATGGAAAGTCTACAGTACCAGGTCTCCTTGGACTGCCGGGATCAAAATGCATACGATTAACATGTTGCTGTAAACGATCAGCATCCAGATCTACATAATCACAGAGTGGACATCTCATATCAGAGTCATCTAATTTACGACGCTTGGATGATGAACAAACACTATGTGGTGGATTTGTGGAGGAATGTACGTGTCGTTCTGTTATGTGATTTGATAATTTATTTTCTGTCAAGAATGATTCACCGCATATTTCACAAACAGTTTTAGGTCTTGACGACATTATTTTACAAACTTTTAAAAGTAATACAGCGAAAAATTCAATTTAAGGCTAGATGTCTTAATTGAATACGACACATAAAATGCCAGAAATACATTACAAATTCCATTAGCTTTCTTACGGTAATTGTACAATATTCGTACATTCAGTTTAATTATCAATAGTGGAAAACCAGATGTCTAGATAACAATAGACAATTACAAGTAACTTTGACCAACTTATGAACCTTGAGTATTTAATGATAGCAATTATAGCAGTGCTGAGTGTTAATTAAAAAAAAGTTTATGAGTAATTTTTAAAAATTAAGATTAAAATTTAAAAAGATTTATTGTTTATTTAAAATAGAATAGTACTATTACTCATTCATTTCAATAATCGCTGTTGGCGACATTTATTTTGATATGTAAACATATGTTTTGGATAATCATGTTGTTATTATTATTTTGGAAACAAAAAAAAAAACATTATCAGTATTAACAAGTAAATAGCATTTTTCAAAGCATATCTTTTAATAATTTCAAGTTATTTGTCTTGTGAATGGATACTAGTTCAACAATAACGTTTTGTTGGGTTATTTCATGTATTCAGATTTTGTGAATGTTGATTGTGAAGCATACCATACTATTTAAACGATTTGAATTTGTAGAACTTTTATTATATTATTCCTTGATAAGAGTTATACCTCAAAAAAACTTATGGCGGACGAGCTTATTAACTACAAACTTCAACTACAACAGGTAAAATAATCGTTCTAAGAGAAATTAATTCTATTATAATGTTCAACTTAATAAATATTTTAATTAAGTACTTTCTATGATGGTGACAATTAATTTAATAATTTAGTTAGTTGTTAATTTTCATTTAGATAAACATGTATAATAATGTTATGTATTATCATAACGCTTTAATTGATTGCATAGAACAACAACAAAAAATTACTGCGGTTAATAATATTTAGATGAATCCTATTTGGAATTTAGCTGCAGATTCAAAATAAGAATATAATACAGATAGTATGATGTTACATCTGAAAATTATAGACATTTTTTCATAAAATTATAGTTCTTTAGCTCTTATTGTGTAATTAGTTAAATCATTGAATAAATAATGATAATAAATAAAATNCATGATTATTGTTCTTTAGCTCTTATTGTGTAATTAGTTAAATCATTGAATAAATAATGATAATAAATAAAATCTAATTTTACCATCATATCAGCGTAACAATATATATCAATTTGTTTAACATGGATTTACTTTTTTTAAATAACAGTGTTATAAAAAAAAACAACAATTTTAACCAAATTTTAAGAATTATGCATGTTTTTTCTATTAACAGCAATTATGCCAGTTTTTAACTACTTATTATAACAAAAAATAATATTTTTAAAATCCTNATAACAGTGTTATAAAAAAAAACAACAATTTTAACCAAATTTTAAGGATTATGCATGTTTTTTCTATTAACAGCAATTATGCCAGTTTTTAACTACTTATTATAACAAAAAATAATATTTTTAAAATCCTTATAAAATTACCTATTTAATGGTTATAAACTCATAACTAGTTATATATGTTAAACTGAAAATTAATTTTTCTTATATTTGAATTTTTTATAAATGAGCATTATTGATAAATCAATTTTATAACTCTAAAAACAGGTTAAAATTGTCACAGCAGTCTCAAATTTCATGCAACTATTTTATAACATGATAAAAAAATTTGGGATGTTTCAAAAAAATAAAAATATTTTTATATTTTCTATTAATTTTTAAATGACAAAGTAATTATCCCAGAAACTAGTTGTGATTGAACAAATGTGAAATTTATGGAATGCAGTATTCATTTAAATATTGTAAACTGTAGAAATTTAATTTTTATTTTTTTTGCCACTAATTTATAAATTGTATAAATATTGTGTAGTTACTTAATCATCTTGATAAAGATAGGTCTTTATTATTATTTAAGGATTGACGTAAATATTCTGTTAAAAATTTTTCAATTTATCATATTTTGCAATATGGCTTATAAAAACCCAATTATGTTTAAGATTATAAATATTAAACTTATACAATTTCTTTTTTTTTATAGTTAACACATTAAATAAGAAAGGTGTACAAAATTAATTTAATAACCAATTATATAGTCTCTATGTTATAAATAAGAAAAACAAAGATATTATTAAAAACTCATCAGCTGAGTATAATTGACATTCAATGTTTATTAATAATAACTTACAAAAATTAATTTATGATTATAATATTACATAGACATGATATGATACCAACTTTACCTCAGTCACACATCACTTTATCAACTTATATATAAGTGTATTGGGATCTGAATTATATATCCTAGCGGTAAAGTTTGTCTCTAAGACACATTGGGTCACTGAATCTAATCTCTTACTATGCCACTTTTTTTCCACATAATATCTTATACACTTTTAATGTGCGCTTGTTAATTCCTGGTAACTATGTTAGACATTATAATTTAACAAGTATAAATAATAACACTGAAGGATTAAATTTAATAGTTAAATAATAATAAATAGTTTATTTAGTAGTTGTAGATCTATTATTTCTTAGCAAATTTTAATAGACTATTATGCTATTTTATGTATTATGATGATCAAATGTCTTTTTAATCTTTATATTTTGCATTTATTTAATAGTAAGCATTACATATCTAAAAATCAATTGACTACTACAATTCTTTAAAATAGTTATTGTATAATTTTGAGTAGATTTTTAATTTATTGCCAGAATAATGGATGATTATAATAACTTTGAATATAAAATATGATATTATAATTTTACATATTATTGCTGATTTCAGTAATTTTTCTATAAAAAATAATATATCTATATAATTTAATGCAGTATAATTCTGAATTTATTAATAGAGGTATTAATTTTAATTTTTTGTAGTATGTTATATTAATGAAATTTGTTTCAAATTATATGTTTAATTTTACACAATTACTTAATTTTCGTTAATAGACTATACCACTCATTAAAAATTTAAATCAATTCAACCTAATTGATCTTAATATGTTTTTTTTGGTGACTAATCTAATTTAAGTGAACACAATTTTTTTTGTACTGTAATATGTATTTTATTTTTGAAATAATGAAACCTATATTGTACATATATACATATATTTTATCATCTCCAAACTACATTTTTTTAAATAATAAACAGATGCAGTATCAGAGAGCAAAAGTAGAGCCATCTTTATCCTTGGTGGACTCTTCAACAAGGTATATCAAGTAGTATATAAATTAGGTTCCTATATTAAATTTGTAGTATACAAAATTAATTTCTCCCGGTTTATAAAATTGTAGAGGAAATTTGCTGTTCATTAAAGTCATGAACTTCAGTTATGTTTAATCAGCATAATAGCCAATTGGTCAGGCAGTGGAGATTGGATCACTTTTACTGTAATTCTTCATTATATTGCTTATTGTTAAAGCAATTAATCTCATGGTCTGTATTAATTAAAAATACTCCTGGTTGAGATTATAGTACCTTTTGTAAAAGACTTTCGGAAATTTTTAGGAATCATCCATGATGAACACTTCACATCCGGATGTTATCATATTTACTCACTGGTAAGGTCAGGCTGACAAGCTGTGGTCTTTTAATTTCAGCCATCAAATATTATATAAAATGATGATCTAATTAGGAATTCATCTTTAACTTATTTAGTTAATATTTATTTATTTTTAATAGTCCATTTTTATGAAATAGGTAGAAGCTGCTTTAACTAATAGTCCAGATGATCCAGAACTTTTAAAACTAAAAACTGATTTGGAGGAAGTCATTGAATTAACTACTGAACTTGTAAAAACTCAGGTACAACCTAAAAAAGAAATTGGTAAGTCAACAAAACCTGCTAATATTACCGATTCTTTAATGTTTATGCGTGTTTATTTTAGTGCAATCAAAAAAAGAATCATCTTATCAACCAGATATACTTCCATCAGTATCAAAAACTAAAGATGAATGGAAATCAGGGGATAGATGTTTAGCACAATTAGCAGACGATGGAAAGTTTTATGAAGGTACCATTGAAACCATAGATGGTGAAGCTGTTGCTGTCTTAATTGATGGACAAAAATCTGCAGCTGTAACAACCTTAGATTATATCAAAGATTTGCCAAGAGCTCATCCTAATGAAATGAAACACAAGTAAAATAATTGCATTCAAATTGTGTATGTTATGGTGAAAAAAGTCCTGTTAATAAATTTGGATATTTATTGGTCTATGACAACATTGCAATAATTGATGGTTAAATGATGAAGATTATCTGATTAATAATTTTTTTTTTAATTAAAACATATTAAGATTTTGCTTATGGATTTATTGATCTAAAAATATTTTTTATTCATTTAACTCAGTATTTTTGAAGAGAGCATGTATTTTTATATTTAACTCTATACAGAATCTTTATATCATACCTTGATTTTTTGATATTAAATCTAATTTATATAAAATTAATTTAAAATAAATCATCTATAAAATAATAAAATATATGACAACTTAAAGTGACTGTAACATTTTTTTCTTCAAATTTGTATTTTTATTTAGTTTTAGCTTGAAAATCTAACTTTATGACATATGGTCTTTCTTCATAACATTAACAAATCATTCATGTTTAAAAATATAAAAACAAATATATTTTTTTTTATATAGAAAACAACCAATAGCCAAATATAGAGAATATCAAAAAAAGAGAAAACTAGCAAAACAACAAAGATTTAAACAATTAGAAGAAGAAAGAGAAGTTGAAAAAAATAAATGGCTTGCATTTGCCAATAAGGTAAAGGTAAAAATTTTAAATTGATAGATTGAATGGATAAAATTGTCACTTTACCCCGTGTATCTATTTTACTCCAAATGTTCTCATTTGTTTATTCATTAAGTATTTGTTAATTTATGTAAAATTACTGGATGATAAAATTTATGTTTTATAAACTAAATATTAGGTGCTTAAAATGCAAGAAATAAAATCTTGGAGAATGTTTTGTTTTAATATGACATAATGTAAAAAAAACATGCTTTTCACAATTTTAATGTGCTCTCTTTATACTACTTTTAAAATAAAACTTATTATTTTAGTTTGTCTTTACATCTTACTCATTTTGTTTTAATGTCATATGAATCTATTCTATAAGTCTTATGTACACAATACACAGTTATTGAATTTTATATTTTATCTTATTTTAATAATCATCACTTTATTAAATTATTTTTTATAAATAATATTTATTTTATTTAAATATTTTATAGGGTGTCAAAAAGGGTATTCCAAAGAAAAGTATTTTTGCATCACCTGATAATGTTAATGGGCGTGTTGGAATTGGAACATGTGGTCTTGGAGGAAAAGGTATGACAGATTTTCCTATGGCAGAAAAAAGAAAGAAATAAGACTAATCTATTATTTAATTATTTGTAAAAACCTATTTAAGTTTTTCACTCAGTAATAATTTTGTTAAATTGATAAAAAAAACTACTTCATAATGTTTAATATTAATTATTTCCCTTTAAATTTTTTTGTAAATTTGCACCAATATATTGACTAATATTTATCTATATTATTAAATGTTTGTGTTTTGCTACAAGAAGTATTTTCAAAAATCTTCTCTTGCATTGTAGGTATCAGAAATTTTAATTATTAATTTGTTGTGTCAAATCTTGTGCATAAATTTATTAAATAATCGCCTAATTTTCTGATAATGCAATAGCATTATATGCTTAATCATTATATTTGACCCAACTATGCCACGTTTCTACTTTAACGCGACCCCCCTGTGTTGGGTTTTTAGATTTAAATTAATAATATGTTTAGTATAGTTTTAATTTTAAATAATATTAGCCACAAGTGATCAATATTTATTATATATATTATACGTGTAAATCACAGAACTACTAATTAGGAATAATGAATGAATTAGAAGGTAATTTTAATTTTGGAATAATCCACCAATTTCTTAAATTTAACATCCACAGATTTGCATTGAAGCGTTTCCTATGATAGTGATTTTAATCATTGTCAGATATAATTTATGACACACCCACACTGTGCCGCGACACCATTGTGCTACCGTTTTTTTTAATATTGGTCATCCATCTAATTACCCGTACCACTGATTATTGTTTAAATTATCGTTTTCAAGCTTTTTTGTAAAAATAATAAAACTGTTATATTGTCAGTTTTTATGTCAGAATATATGTCTTGGCCTTTGTCCCAACTATTTGGGGTCGGCTATACCTTACGATTTGACAGGTATTTACACAGGTTTTCAACCCGAAGCAATCTCTTAATGACTGAGGAAGTCAGTATATGAGACAAGGTGTGTGTTACTGTTTAAGTTTCCGTATGGTTATTTAACGTGGAATCAGTACCAAACAGTATTAAGGTAGAGACTTATTGATTTACTACGCCGCACCACGCCCCATTTTTTATATAAAAATTTATATAATTTTAAAAAAGATGGAGGGGGTTAATTCTTTAACTGAGGAACAACGGTGACTTAGTTAAACAAGTACATTTTTATTCAATATCGTAGGTAAAATACGTTTCGACCGTCAACATCTTTGATTTCAATGCAAAACATCAAATTAATTTAATGTCAACTAATTATTCATGGGGGATATGAAGTATAGAAACCGCTCCCCATGACGAAAATAAATATATAGTGAAGATTATATTATATTTTGGAATGAGCAGTAAATTCATAGCAAAACCCATGCCAGAAAAAAACTAAGAACGCCTATGCTGTTATTATTATTATATTTCTTATCATTTTAATTCAAGTAATGTTTATGGAGCGTAGTTGGTTCCCTGGAAGACTATCAATATCAAATATAGGGATATTTGGAGTAACGATTTACTTCTTGTGCACCTTAGTCATCTGGTATAATTACGCAATGTGTTATTGTTCTAGGACATTAACACTCTGTATCTTAACTAGTGCAGGACTAGAACAGGTTCATAGTTAGGATAGTTAAACAAATGTGTTGAATAGAAGAAGGTTGGTATTCTATTAGCGAAGTTAAATATTTGAGCTAACTACATGAAATATTCAATATTAAGTGAAACATTTAAAAAATCTTAGTCATTTTTTGTAAAATGTAAAAAAAGTGTTAGGTTTCCTTCATTTTGAATTACGTAATATGAGTTACTGTATCCGCACGTACAGAGTCAACAAAAATATCCTTAGGGAATGGATACATAAGTAATGTACATATGTATATATGTATTTGGGTTTTTTAGATAGTTCAAATTGTTGGAATGTAAATTTATCCAGAGCTTTCATAATCATAATGCCGGCCCGATAGTACGTACTAACACAGCAAAAAAACATTTTTATTATAATAAAAATATTACACATTGATTATTTGGAATATATTAGAAAATAAATTTTATTATAAACTTGTCGTAATTTATCTTAGTTCTTTAATATTATAATATTATACGTTGATTCTACTAAATATTTATTTTTTAATGTCAACATTTATGTAATACTATTTTGTTGATATTAACTCAATTTTATTTTAAAATATTTCGTAAACTCATAATTATTTAATATGTCAACATATTAAATGAACATATTCACATATTAATATATGAATATGATTTTATGATAATACCAAAATAAGTTGGTATTATCAACTGCAAATACAAATAGGCAGTATAAATTTATATTATCAAAAAAATATTTAAAATAAAAACATTGTTTTGAAGTTTTTGAATTAACATGCACTATACCTTTCGAAGGGTACTGCAAGAGAAAAATTTAATGATATGTAATTCAGCTTTCAAGGAGTGCATTTTGATTATTTTCCAGGGACACAACTTAATGTTGAAATTAAGTTGTGTCCCTGGAAAATTAATTAATACTGCTGAATACATCATAATGATGTATTTTTTCGTTATGATGGTGTTTCCCAAGAAAATTGGGTAACAAAGCTACCAGGTTTTCTACATTGTGTTGATAAATCTACAGTTAAATAATTATACAGTGTTCAGTAAGAAAACAGGTAAATTGTTACAATGTGACACAATAGAAACCCGTTTTCTTACTTACTGAACACCTTATAAAATTATCGCATGATATAATTATCGAGTGTAAATTTCAATCATGTAATTAGACTAGATAAAAATAACTCATAGATTGTAGAATCCAAGATTAAACAAATATATTTGTTGTTCTATGATCGTAGTTTTCTTTTGTTTAGAAATATGTATTTGATTACATGTTATCAAATATATAATTTCAGGTAGCTGCAGTTACACGAACTTATCTTGTTGTAAATGAAGACAACCACGGTTATATATATATATTGTGTGGCTTTTTAAACCGTTGTCCATTTAAACGTAAAGACTACAATATGAAGCGTTGTCATTGTTTATTTATAGTCGATCGTCTATGACTTTCTATCGTCCAATTTTGAATCTGTTGATGGAACATTTTGTTAATATTTTTTGCCGAGCCCATGGTGAACTGTTTTTTACAATTAAAAGTGGTTTTGGTTATTGTCTTCGAAACGGAAAACTTACATATTTGTTATTATATATAGTTAATTTATAATTAATAGTTTTAGTTATTATCGAGGTGAACATAATACCCATGCACTCAGACCTGTTGGTTTATTGTGCGCACCTCATACCGAATTGTCTTGATTCGGTTTACTCTCCTAAGTGTTATCACCGATGTGTTAACATTACCAATCATTGTAAAAGGGTAAATCATAAAGTTACCCCTATAGATGACCAAAGAGTTCTGTCTTTCCGGCGAAATTAAGTATCTCTTTTTAGTTTGACATATTTTAGGTTTTTAATATTTTCTTTTTCAAGAAAAAGTTTACTCAAGTAGTTTGATCTTAGTGTGGACAAGGCTTCACATTCGCACATAATGTGAAATGAGTCCTCCTTTTCTACTCCACACTTCCTTCACAATGGTGATTCCTATACCCCCGATGCGTTAAAATGTTTAAGCAGGTGACCTTTCATGCTATTAGGATCACCCAACAGTAGACCAGGGGTCTTGATAAACATTTTAGATTGTCTAGGTACTACCAAGTACTTCCAGATTTTCCTGTGTTGTTCTCTACACCAATTCTTGGGTAGCGCTTTGAGCGATTGCTCAGTGAGTCCTACCACTGGTTCTGTTCCAATATTGGTATTCTCTGCTCCTTTTCTGGCTAGAAAGTCAGCATTTTCATTCCCAGTGACACCGTTGTGTCCTGGTACCCACGCTAGTGTAGATTTGTTGACCTCGATAGTGATTCTGAAGTTTCCCTGCATTCGAAGACCATCTTTGAATTCACCTGATCATTACAGAGTGCTTTCAAAGCCGCTTGACTGTCATTTAAGATAGTTAACCCTTTTATGTGTGGTCATTGCTTTTTTGATTCTTGACTCAACATGTGATCTCCATTTTAGCTTACTATCTAAGATAATATCTAAGTATTTTACTTCCGATTTTAAGCTAATTTCTTGTCCATTTATAGTAAGAGTGTCAAAACTGTCTAATCCTGTTCTTCTTCTAGTGAACATAATGACCTCTGCTTTATTTGGATTAACAGATAGACCATACTTACTGCACTATATATGTATAGTGTTTAGTCTCTGTTGTGCTAAGCCTATAATAGTGTCTGGGAATTTACTCACCACTGCTATAACTAAATCATCCGCATAGGCTTGTGTGTAACAGTATTTGTTTAACTCTTTAATAAGCGAGTCCAATACTAGACACCATAGCAAGGGAGATAGGATTTAGGATTTAACATTCTTATGATATAAGGATTGCCAGATGTCTCTAACAAGGTTCTACTATCTCCGGGCAATGAGGAAAAGCATTTATGACTTTTTAACACCAAAAGTAAATCATTAACAGCATATAAAGGTATGCTATAATGAACTGACCATCTTCTTCTTCTTCGCCTTAATCCTAACTACTTGGGATCGGCACGCTTAAGTTTTGTTCAGGATTTGTCATACTTTTTTGATAAAAATTTTTACGCCGGCTGTCAACCTGACGCAACCTCATTAGTCGCCTCTTACGACTGGCAGAGGGGCCGTGGTAGTATTCTTATCCCCTATCCACAGGGATAGCTATAATGAACTGATCAATGAGCTAATTCATTAAATGAATTTTCAGGTTTTTGGGCAGTATTAATACATTTGGATTTTAAAATGTCAGTTTTATCAAATAAAATAGGTGTAATAACTGTAGAAACCATTAAATTTATTAATACACCAGAGCTAAAGACAAACTGAGTTAAATCAGGATAATTAGTGGAATTATAACAGTTATAATTTCACTATTAATTTATTAAAACTATTATTTATTTTTCTTCTTTTAAAACGACTACTCTTTATTAAGTAGACATAATATAAATTAATTTATATTATATTTATACAGATTAGGATAAACTAGTAAAATATTATAAATAATAATTATTTAATCAATTTATTAATTATAAGCCTTAAGGATCACGGGCCTAACAAGCCCGCGGATCCTAGTTAATTCAGTGGTGGTGGCAACACGTAACACTGTTCTTAGCCGATCATAACTAGGCCTGGGCACATCTGTTTGACAACAGCGAATAGGCCCCCCTAATCCAGCCATACCAAGTGAAAGGGTTGCTAACTTGTTACAGAGTAGTTAGCCGAAAGGTAAAGTGACCATTGGGATCCTCTATAGCACTTTGTTAGTGGGGTAGCCTGCGAGGACCAAAGCCACTTTTTTATCATCGGTTACCACATTTCTATAGGTTGGTACCCAATGAGTTTTCTTACATGGAGGTTCTTGCCCCTTGTTCTCAGGTTTTGAGCTTCCCTAAGACTTTTTCAATTCATCGGTTCCCTTGTCTCCTTCCTTTGGTAGGTTTTTCTGCTCCTCAATGATTACCCGGCTCCTCTCTAGCTTGCGCCTCTGACTACCGCTCAGTTTCACAGGTCTAAGTTTTAGACCTGTGTTCTTGCAAAAGTCAACTGTGGCCCATCTTAGCTTATATTAGAAATCATACTAATATAAAAAATGTGTTACCTATTGGCTTATATCATGAAAATTCTAGGCCTAAAGAAAGTGATGATTTTTTGTTAGATTTTGTCAATAAAACTTTGTATTTAACTAATAATGGATTAAACATCAATAATAAACATTTTATTATTATTAAATTTGATCTCTTTTGCTTAGATGCACTCTCTAAAAGTTTTATTTTAAAATTAAAAGTCATAGTCGTTTACATTCGTGTACTCGTTGTTTAATTGAAGGTGATTATTTAAACAATCGTGTGTGTTTTCCATATAGTACTACTAAATCAACACTAAGAAATGGTTATGAATATCGAAATTTAGTACAGGAGAATTTCATACATCTTTTCCATTCATTTAATCTAAAATCTCCAACATATTTAATTATAACATATAAAATTGATTCCAATTACTACTTAAAGTCGTTTATTCTCATTTAGAAATTTTACCTCTGAACCTACTAAAATAAGAATCCCGCAGCTAAACCACCCTTAATTTGTACTCGTATACAGAAACAATAATATTGTAACTGCTTAGGTTAAATTTAAGTAGTTAATAATTTACATTATAAAAACTAAGAATTACTTAATTTTCATGACTAATTTAGAGATTTTTAACCATGAGAGGTAACAAATTAGGCTAAATGAAAGATTATGGGTTTAATACCTTAATTTCAGTGGCGTATTTAGAAATAGGATTTTTATAATGGAGGGGCACAAAAAATGTTAATGAGTAAGGTACCATAAAACGACTTTTTTTTTTGCTCATAACTTATGTGTTAACACATATTTTAGTTTTTTTTTTTAAATATCTGTTGTTTTGAATACATTTTTATTAATAAAATATTTCTTTTTTTATAGTATGTATCTCTACGTAGTAAACACTTCAAAAATAGGTGATAACATTAGCGGGACAACTGTGCGGTCGTCAAATTTTGCTCCACAAGACAGCTATATCGACTAACATTTCATAAACCCATGTTACAATCGATAACCAATAAATAATTTTTTCTAATGATATTATACATTATTACATTGCTTGATAAAATATTTACATGACTTAGTCAATAGGGGGAGGTGCCCTTGTTCATGTCCCACCTAGGATGAGACACAGTAACGTGTTGGAGTGGATGTCGTTGTAATGTAAAATAAAAGTACAGAGTTATAACACAATATATTTATACAACGGTTCTTTAATTTTAGAAATACAATTAATTATAACCATAACATTAGTTGTCTTAGGGTAAATCACTTACAACTTATAACACAATATATTTATACAACAGTTCGAACGCAATTAATTACTGCTTATTCGTTGTCTAATACTAATTATTCCTTAACCCCACTACACTATTATCATAACAATACGGATTCAAAACACCACCTTCTAATTACGCCACTGCTTAATTTAATGATGTATTTAAATAAGTTATTTCGATAATTGTATTTTTTTACGAATTTCGTAATATTTATATTATAGCAGATATAATAGTAAAATTAATTAAAAGAATTTTTGCGCTTATACATATGATTACACTGATTTCACCGCTTCCAATCAGAGCACTATTTTGTTATCGGGCCGTGATCTATCGCTTTTCATATAGTCTGTGTTATCACTATATGATACCCTTAGAAGAAATATTTCGGCGATTATTGTTCACCGAATATTAAAACTGATTTCAGTAAATTAGTTACCTTTTAAAATATTTATATTTTTGATGACTGTGCTTTTAATTAGTAAAAATGATATGAGAACATTTTTAATTTCTTGGAAATTTTAAGTGATGAATAATTCATCTAATAAAAATAAGATGTCTAAGCTTCTAAAATTAGCTCATAAGTTCAATAGTTTTTATTTAAACAGTGAGTATGCTAATAAATTTGTATACTAACGTTTTAATTCAATTAAAGCTAATCTATATTATATAGTCCTCAAACGGAAAGAATGTTGTGCATTCATTGTGGATGGTGTTCAAGTGGGTTTGATTCAAACAGCAGTAATTTCAAAGCTGAGCCAATATCCAAATGTATTTATTGTAGAATGCAACAGTGTGACGTTGAATCCAGCATTAAGAAATTATGAAGAAAGATCTATTCATGTCGAAAATGTACTTCGTGATATGAAAGAGAAACAATTATTTATAACGCTTAAAGGATGGCGAAATGAAGTATATAATTTAATAAAATTACTTATTTTATTTCAAAATTTTAATTTTTGTTGACACTTATTTTTAAATACTTCAGTTAGTTTAAATTAATTTTCGGTAAATATTTGATTATTTTATATCTATCAAATGAATCAATATTTTTATTAATAATTTAATCAAAATATTTTCATAGATAAAATATTAGTTATAGTATAGTAGGATAGAGTTTATTAATTTGAAAGTTATAGAAAAAATAATTCAACTCTTTCATTGCTTTACTCTTATTTATTTGAGTCACCAAAAAGCATTTTTCATGCATAACTTCTATGTGCTAAGATCAAATAACTTAAGGTGGATTTTTATTAGTGACATGTGTGTATATAGGCTCTTATTGAATGTGCTTGTGTTAAAGTGGATGGTAAAACCTAATTACAGCGTAATGGAATTGAATCATGATACTAAGCCCTGGACCACATTCTTATTAATTTAATTCAAAACTAATTAATGTATTTTAAATAGAATTATTGTGTATGAGAGCTTTAATGTTGACACCTGAACAGTGGTATTATTTCACTTTTTTTTTAGGATGTGTCAATTTTTAAAAAGGTTTTTTCACACAAAATTTTTCATAAATGATTTTTATTTGCAAATAGTTTACTGATTTTTTAGAATAATATCTAATTTTCATGAACTATTGAAAATTTAGGGTGTTACAATTCATAAAACAGTTTATACTTGTGTATGTATACTCTACCTACACTACTTACCCACTCTTTATATTAAAAAACTTGTAAGTTAATAAGTACTTATCCTAAATCTGTATCTATCTATTAAAACATTTTAAAAAAAAAAAAAGTTAAGAAATAGCTGGTTTGAAATTTTTTTTTCTTATTAGAGAATAAGAATAATAAAAAATATACTTTTAACTTAGTCCAAAATTATTAAAATAAAAAAAAAAATAACAAAATATATTCAGTTATATATTCAAACATGTTAAACAACTATAGAATTTGTCAGAATAGGATGGGACCTATAACTATAATATGTTACTATAATATGAATGAGGACAGTGTGGCTAATCTGGTAACGTGGTAGTGCTTGGTGTGCACTGCCTCAGGTTCAAAACTTGGTCACAGATGGCTTCATTTGCCAAACGATCTATTCAGTAGTTTGTGTCACCATCCTCCTCTCTCCGGCAACAGACTAACCACCCGTCCTGTAGTATAAATGGTTAAGAAAACCTCCTCCTTTAGGAGAGGCCGCTATGGCCCTTAATTGAGCCGATAAAAGCACTGAAAAAAAAATATGATAAGTATACATCATGTATAGTTAATTCTCTAATATATTATTGGATTATAATAATTACATTAAAACATAAGCTAAATTTATCCATATATTAAAAATAGAAATTTTTATTTTATCATATTTTAGTGCTATGATGTGCGGCCAATGTTTTCTGACAAGCCTTTACTAAAAATGGATCGATCTGCTACTTGTTAGTAATAAAAATCAATTCCAACTTCTTTAGTGTTGTATTCGAAATATATTTTTTTTCTAGGTTTATTTGGTATTTGCAATTATGGAGTACATATAAATGGTTTTGTTAATCATCCTACTGTAGGATTATGTATTTGGCTTCAACAAAGATCATTAACAAAACAGACGTGGCCTGGAAAGTGGGACAATATGGTTGCGGGGGGATTGTCTGTAGGAAACAGTGTTATAAAAACAGCTCACAAAGAAGGAGAAGAAGAAGCATCACTTACTCCTAATCTTTTAAAAAATTTGAAGTCTGCTGGAACTGTGTCGTAAGTTATTAATTAAAGTTATGATGTATTATTTTAAATATGATTGTCATTTCTTTCAACAATAATATATTTCAAAAAACTTGATTTTTCTATTGAGAGATTTTTCAAAATTAAAAATACATTAAAATTAGTGATATTTTAAACCCTGATATTTGGGTTCGAACTTAGATAATAATTTTAAATTCGACCTCAAACTAAACTGAACATTAAATTTTTTAGTCTAGCCTGAACCAAATAGAATAATACAAATATTTAATCAAATTCAAACTAAATAACCAATTTAATTATTTTCAGGCAAAATATTTTTAGCTATGTTGCAAATTTGGCAGGTACTAATTTTACCATGTTGTGTAAACATGTAAAGTTTACAACTAATTAATAATTTTTTATAGTTTCTCCAAGAAATACAATTGAAAATATTGAATAAAAATTTCATACTAAATTAAATTTTTATAATATGATTTATTTATGTATTATAAAACTAGCTATCAGTATATAATGAAGAAAATAGGAGTTGATGTTGTTATTGGAAAAATCCAACAATTCCTTTTAAAAATCAAACACTATTCATACAATTATAAAGAGATTTCATAATAGTGATTTTAATTACTGTCATTTATTATCTATACTTGCCCTAATATTGCTGTGTCGTGACCTACTGAGTGGGGTTTTTATCATTATTCAACAAATTCTGTGTGATATTTGATCATACTAATTCGATTTTCAATAAAAAAAATTTTTTTATGTTTTTAAGTTTTAGGTTCTCTATTTTAACTGAACCAAGCACCTCAAGTTTGTTTGGTATTCAGTTCGAAAATTAAATAGTCCTAGTATGGCTTATTAAAATTTATTATAAATAAATAATTCAATCTATTTTCGACTTTTTAAATATTTAGTTATAGGTATAATGGTTTTGCTTAAATAATTCCTTGGGGTATTTTGATAACTAGCATAATTAAAAAACATTATTTTGTAATATAATGTTTACATTGAGTAAACAATGTATTTTTTCAGTATTAAATTGTAGGTTTTTTTTAATGAATGATATGTTAATTTTTAAATAACCATTTTCTTTTATTAAATTTTACAATTATTTCAGATTTTTTTATGAAAGTGATAGAGGGTTATTTCCTGATACTGAGTTTGTATTTGATTTAGAATTACCAACAGATTTCGTTCCTCATAATCAAGATAATGAAGTAGAAAAATTTGAGCTATTGACTGCTAATGTTAGTCTAAATTGGTTGATTACTTAGTATCAGTTATAATTATGATAAATACTCTACTTATAATCTATATTTTTAGGAGACTGTAAATAGAATTTTATCCTCAGATTTTAAAACTACTAGTTGTCCTGTTACTGTAGACTTTTTGATTAGACATGCTGTTATTACTCCGGAAAATGGTAATATTACTAAATTTATTTCCAGGATCTATAATATTTATTTTGTATCTGTATTTTTAGAACCACGTTTTCCTGAACTTGTTGAACTATTGCATGTTCCACTCCAGTCATTATATTCTAACTAAGACGTAAAATTGAATAAAAGGTACATGGTCCAATGACATTTGGTCTACTTTTTTTAGTTTACACCATTAAAATCTATTTTATAATATTTGGTTTACCCTATGAATTCTACATTCAAATTTTGTCTATTTAGGTCTAATATTTGTTAAAATCTAATAATGTTTATTATAATTTATTAGAGTAATTCAAGTACTGGCTTTTAGTTTTTTCTTATGAGACATTATAACACGTGGTTGATCCATAATCAGTAAATAAATCAGAAACTGATATTATAATTGAAGTTAAATTAGTAATATTATTCAACATTATTAGGTAGTTTAAACAACAACATGTTATTACTATTTAAATAGTAGACATTTTTGTTGAGTAGTCTTTATGTTTGGTATACCATCTTATAAATAGATATTATTGTAAAATAGAACACTTTAGAAGTAGACAGTGTAATGTAAACATTTTTTAATGGACAATATTATCTTTGACTGAAAGAAAATTACTAGTAATCTTTTTTTGTTAGCAGTGACATAAATAGAAGAATGCAAAGAATGCAGCTGCATTAGAACTTTTTTGACTTTCCAGGATACTGATATTATTTTTTTTACATTATAACTGATTTGAAAAGGGATATGTTTTTTTTTTTTTGACAATTTTGTATACTTCTACCATAGATTGTTAGGTTGTATTTATTATATTTAACTTTTACTTTTACATACTTAAAAACCAATATTATTTAATTTTAAAAATTTTTATTTATTTATTTTATTCATTCATTAAATAAATAATAATTGTTATTTAACTAAATTATCATAAATACATTGTTATGTTCCTTCCATATTATTGTGATATAAATTAATTAGCTATATAATTTACATTTTATGTTTTTGAAACTATAACTATAATAAAAATAACAGTTAAGTGAATCATGTTGTATAAAATGCCAAAAAATGTATTGTATCAATATAATAATTTGAAAATTAACTTGAACAAAATATTGAATACTAGTATTAACAAAGATAGGTAAATAGTTCTTCCTTATTTTAGTGTTTAAGTGATTGGAGAAGAGTTTTAAAAATGTGACCAATACTTTTATTAACCCAACTTTAATTTTATCCCTAGTGTAATACTTTAACTATTAAATTTTAAAATGTATATAGGTATACTAATTAATTTTAAAATTTTATTTATTTATTTTTATTGTGATAAACTTTAGTTTCATTTTTGTAATCAACCAACGTTTAGCTAGTCAATTTATATGTCAAAAATTTGTCATTATGTTTAAAGTAATACAAAAGACTTTCTTAAATGTGTGTTTTAATGATTTTTCATTTTGCCTTTATGTAGGATCCTAAATTTATTTTAAAAGATTGAAAATAGTATATACTTACTACTAATGCATTTATAATTGTTTAATTCATTAACTAAAGCCATTACATTCAACTTTTTTAACTAAATATAATTTTTTTCTAATTAGATACATTATATGTGTGATGAATTCGCATAGAAATTAAGTTAAGTTAATAACTTTACAATTGTTAAAGCTAAAATTTACTTGTTCATCAAGTATTAAATAATGTGTCATCATTGTTAATATATATATATTTACAGTGATGATATATTATCAGAAATTATTAAAATTTTTATATCTAGACAGGAAAAGGAGTGAAGCCAAGAAATGCTAATGATACAAATAGCAGCACCCACTCTTCATCTCCAATCATTACTTTAAATTGTTAATAACTTCTGATATACTGATCCAAAAGTTGTATCAACAAGTCATTTTTTTAATTAGATCAATTTACAGTTGAGTTTTGACGTTTCGGACTCATCTTCAGAGTGATGGTTGCTAGTCGGTGGCTGCAACTATACTGGCCTATACTATACTGGAAACGTCAGAACTCAACTGTAAACATGGATATATCCTCAAGCACTTCAAGCAACAAAACAATCCATGAAAGTTTTAACACATTCATAGATCAATTTGTTTTAAAATCTATTTAAATGTGTATGTTTACATTTAAAAAAAGTTGAATCCCCTATAAGATATAAGGGATGAACATAAAAATACTTTATGATAGATAAATGGAGATACATAAGTAACAAACATAAGCAAAAAAAAAAAATTAGTATTACTCTGTATAAATATTTTATTCTCGAATAAAAGTATCTAGCTAATGGCAGTGATTGCCATTAGCTATTTATGTAAATATGATACATTATTTACATAAAAGGTAGACCAAATATTTAGCATTGTTAAAAAAATCATTAAAAAATTTGGGTAGTATTCTTAATGGACTACATTGAGGGATAACATCACAGTAAACGCTAAAAAAAACGGTTTTTTCAAGATTTTTTGGGGGATGGACGGAATGGTACTGTAAAAAACCTTTAAAGTATATATATCGAAGTATAAAAAATTATTTTTTTATTGAAAAATAGTTCCAAATGGCGTCGGTACGGTGGTTTTCTGACATTGCCTTAAAAAAAGACGTTCCGCGGCAAGCAGCAGAACTGGAGTAAATTTCAAAAAAAAATTTTTCTTAATCTATATTAGTATAGCTAGAGAAACACCAAGGAGATTTCCAAAATATTAATTTTTAAATTTTAAATAAGTTTTGTTTCAAGTAAAAAATTTAAATTTAAATGAAAAAAATACCCGTTATTTGTTTAAAAAAACTGTTTAAATTAATTTATCGAAAAACCTCTACGTGTTTCTCTTAAGAATGTTGTTTTTAATACTTGGTTAAAATTTCAAAAAAAAATATTAAAATTTACATGAGTTCTGGTGCGTGCCAATTTGAAAAACTTCGTTTTGAGATAAACGCGTTTAAAGTTTTAAAACAAGTTTAAGAAGTAAAAAATGAAAAATTCAAGTATTAAAATTTTTTTACCATTAATCTACAGTCTCAAGACCGTAAAGCTGCCCTTCCAAGTGCGAAAATTTATCAATAGATATCAGGGAAGGACTCCAATACTGTAGTCTCTCGGTGTTAGAAGAAATTTCTTATTCATTAATTAAAATATTTTACTATACGTTTTTTTGTCATTCATTTTTCTCATAGAATTTTCAATAGCATCAATAGCATTTTAATGATCAATACGTCAAAAAAACATGACTTTAACCTAGTTGAATTTGTAATCACCAAATATTAGAAAAACCCTTTAATTTTAGAAATTAAGGCAAATATATCAAAATTATGCTACTATTAAAAATAATCACTCTAAAAACACAAAAATTAATTAAACAATTTTTTTTGTCAAGTTATTGATTTGTAATATATTAAAAATAATTTGTGTATTATTTCAATTCAAAATGTCACTTTTAACTTATTTTTTTGATTTTAAATATAATTCTAAATCTATTGTGTTTTAAACTGGTAAAAAATTTCTTATCTATTATCTATTATTGTTTAGGATGGTTTTCCTTATTATTATTTGATTCATATAAAATTCTTACATTATCATAATTTCCATTAAACAATTTTGTTCTATCATTCTTGTGGAAACCCCCGCCTGGTCATGTTTTACGATTATAATACGAAAAGGATCCTAAATATTAGATCAGGCCTTGGCCTAGTCGGATCTGTTTTAGTATCACCTATGATTTCATCATCTGATGTGTTATTGAATTTTATTTTAACCTAGATATTTTTGATTATTTTTAAATTTTTCTTATTACGTGCCTTAATCCAACTACTAAACTTCCACTTGACACGATCTTTCACATCAGCCGTCTTCATATCGTATCCAATATCATTCCTCCATCTCTTTTTTGGTCTTCCTCTACCTCTCCTCCTTCCAACATTAATTTCCATAACTGTATTCACAGCTTCTGATTGCTCTCTCTTCACAACATGAACAAACCATCTAAGTCTATTTTCTCTCATTTTATCCACGATTTGAACCTATATTCCTTCTTATATGTTCGTTACTTATCCTATCTTCTCTAGTCACTCCACTCATTCATATAAGCATTCTCATCTCTACTACGCTCATTCTCTGATCTACATTCTTGTCAACCGTTCAACATTCTTAACCATACATAATAGGTCTCATTACAGTCTTATAGAATTTATTTTTCAGTCTCATTGGAATTCTTTTACCGCATAATACACTAGACGCTTCTCTCCACTTCACCTACTCGCACTTAAAACAGTGTCTTACATCTTCGCCAATACTATCGTTTTTTTGCACAACTGATCCTGAATACATAAAACGTTCCAACTCTCCAATCACGTCCTTGCTTATTGTTACCGATATCCCCATTTAACTTACCTCGCGTTCTCCTTTGTTAAACTTGTACTCTATATAATCTGTCTTACATCTACATATTCTTAAACTCTCTTCTACAATAGCTGATTTACATACCTCTAGCCTTTGATTAATTTCCTCCCTATTTTTTCCTATTAACACTATACCGTCAGCAAAAAACATGCACCACGGCATCTCTCCTTGTATTTCTCTAGCAATTTCATCCATCACTATAGAAAATAAGTAAGGGTTATTTTTAAATAATTAAAAAACTAATTAAGTTTTGATTATTTCAATTGTAGAATTTTTTTAAACACCAAGTGTTTCGATAAACGCCGGCCGTTTACCCAAAGATTAAACAAATATTTTTGTTGTTAATATCAGAATATATTAATAATATAATAAATTATATATCTGTACTAATTAGGCGGGCGTCCCCGTACTTAATTAATATTTTACAAGAAATCTTTAAATATTATTTATTTATACAAAAATAGTATAATCCGATCCGACCTGTTGTCTTTCGTCTCAGTTCGTCCGTGACTCAGCCAACTGTGTACTGCAATATAACTACAATAAGACTGAATCGAAGACCATAAGAGCCGAAATAACAAAAATAAGGAACCAACAATGGTCCACTCCATATGTACCGCACGTAAATCTCGCAAAAGTAAAAAAGGCGAGAACAAAATCGAATCCGACACATACACTGTCGAGATAACAACTGGGCTTTGAGCACGCACCGTCACTATTGGACGCCGCAAAAGGTTGGTGGTGGACACGGCTGATAAGAACCAGTTGTCTCCACCGCGCATTATCGCCTGGCTCGAATACCAAGACTCATATAGAAATGATTACTATGATTTCTATTTAAATGATTGATGACGATAAAAATACAAAGAACATTATAAGTGACTTTAACGAAATTTTGAGCTTTTCCCGTAAATTTACTATAAATATTAATTATAAAGTTACCCAATAGCATATGAATCTTAACGATTCTATTTTTAAAAGTCTTATAATTTTTCTATTTAATGATGTAAATATCAAGCTTACAAATTGAGCTAAGTTATGTTAGAAAGTTCTACCTTTAATTATTATAAACTTTTGTGAAAATCAACTCTAAATTACCAACAAAAAAAAAAATTAGTTTAATAATGAGACTTTGATTCGATATTATGCACGTATTATTTTAAACATATTATAAATTAAATATTTATAATATTTATTATAAAATGTTTGTTTTATTATTATTTTTATAAGTATTTACTTGTTTCTTTTTACTAATTAGTAATTATTTAAAAAAAAAGAGGTAATAGATAAAATCTAATTGCAGATTTGAAATCGACGCATAAATGGGTTTAGAAAAGTATATTTTGGGTCTCTGAGGTAAATTCCTCGTAAACCAGTAAATTTATTCATAAGTAACAAACAATTTTTTTTTTAAAGTATTGCATCAAGCCTTTTTATTTTTATACACGTTTGTTATAATAGTAATATCTACTATATTTTTTTTCTAGTTTCTCTGTAAAAATTACAATACTAAAATATTGAATATCAATTTCATACTAAATTTAATTACTATAATAAGCATTTATTCGTATATTATACTTCTAAATAAAAAAACTATAAATCAGCATATAATTAAGGAAATATAACTTAATGTTGCTTTTGGAATAATCCATTAATTTTTTAAAATTAAAAACTATCTACAGATTTGCATCGAAACGTTTTTTTATGATAATGCTTATAATCACTGGCAGAAATGATCTATACTAGTCCCAACTATGCCACGTCCATATTGTGCCGCGACCTCATTATATTACCGTTTATTTATAATAATACTAACCACTAATGCATTATGTAAACATAAAACTACATATAGTCAGTATTAATAGCAGAATGTACCAGTTGTAAAAAAAGTTAATTTTACTAAACTATATTTATTTAATTTATTATTTAATTGCAATTCGATAATTAATGTATGTAAATTGTGTTCCAAACCTCCTTCCATTTAAGCAGGAGGGTATTATGAATCCCTGAAAAAATTAGAAGCATTATTATAATTAGCAAACAATTTGGATAGACGTAATTGTTCCCTTGTTCATCAAAATGCATCCCTTGTTCAAGTAATTGTTGTTTTCATCTTATTTAATAATAATATATTGTAATTTTAATTAATAATCAAATAATTTAGTACATTTTAAACGAAGATAATTATATTTTTATTTATTTAGTAAGTTGTATTTGAGAAAAACATTAATATGGTATATTAGCTTTATTGCTACCGATAGGCATCCAAGATTTTGGATGATGTCTATAATAAATAAATTTCAATTTATCATAACATTTCTCACAATAAAAGTCTGTACTATCTGGAGAAAATTTGTAACATCCATTAAAAAAGCCACATTCATAACATTTAGAAATGGACTTTTCAGGAATACCTAAAAAATTAATAGCACAATTTTAAATTAAATCTTTAATTTAAAATATACTTTTTCGACATACTTTTTTTTAAAAATAATATCATTTCCCTTTTTATATTTATATATTATTCAGATATTACACTTATAAATCATAAAACTTGTGATCAGGATATAAATAAGGAAATATGAGAACATTTAGTTTTTGGAATAATCCATTAATTTTTTTAAATTTCGGACTTTATTTTGTCTTCGCGGTGAAAATAGCTACCGAATGCTATTTTTGTGTGAAAATTCTCAATATTTTATATTTTTAACTTTATAATACTATAACTTATTGAAAAGTGTTTGGATCAACACAATTTTTTTATGAGAAATAATATTTACATCTCTTTTTCATTTGACATAATTTATCTTAATCAGGATATTAATAAGGAACTAGCATATCATGTAGCTTTTGGAATAATCCATCACTTTTTTAAAATTAAATACTATCTACAGATTTGCATTGAAACATTTTTTATGATAGTGCTTATAAACACTCTCAGATATTATTTATACTGGACCCAACTATGCTACGTCCTTACTGTGTCGCGATCCCACTGTGCTGGGTTTTTTAAGATGAACTTAAGCAAAATGTTAGGTGTTATGGGTTGAGGACGCATAGATATTAGTTATAATATTAATATGAGAACATACGATATTTAATTTTTTTTGGGCTATTTATCATTTTTTTATTTTTAATCGTTGAATTTAACTAAATTATGAAATATTTTATAATTCTATGGTAGTCAATAATTTTATTACTACAATGTAGATATTTTAACTATAATTGAATTTTATGTTGTGAAAATACATTTCAATTATTTTAGATTGTAAATTCTAGAATGTCATCAAAGAGTCATACACTGGAACAATAAGTACTAGAATTAACTATTTTTTACAAATTAAAATTATATTGGCTCAGTGAAAATTATAATAAAAAATAGGTTATAATTTTTCTTTAAAAAAGCTCCTTAGGTAAAATAAGATATATATAGTATTTGATGAGTTATAACAAGTTAAAGATAGCACATCATAAAAAATGTGCGCCCGTCGCCCTGAAAATGGACTCCGTGGTGTTATGCGCCTATTTATAATGCCCGTAAATCAATAAAGAAATTCTGAATAATAAAATTTCGTAGCCAAAATTGTTGTTATTTTTTTAAGCTAATTAAAAACTATGGGATATGATAATTTGAGAACCAATATATCGTATACAGTTTTAAATTTTTAAACTTACATGACTGAATTATTTTTTTACTTTACAGGTGATAATCAATCGCAAATGTTTAGCGCAGTATCTACTGGGGAAATCATCGATTAGAGCTAATGGTCCAGTAATAACCGGAACAAATAATGGTTGTGCCTAATGAAGTTTGAGATACAGATTTAAAAAAGTTTTAAGTATTTTACTTTTTGGTCCATCAGACATTGTAGATTCTGCTGTGTTCTCGGGTAAATCAGAGACTGCAGATTCTGCTGTGTTCTCGGGTAAATCAGAGACTGCAGATTCTGCTGTGTTCTCGGGTAAATCAGAGACTGTAGATTCTGCTGTGTTCTCGGGTAAATCAGAGACTGTAGATTCGGTTCTGTTCTTGAGCAAAAAAGAACGGGTTTGTTGTAAAACAACCAATAATATGATATTTGCAAAGAAAATTTTCTGAAAAATAATATCCAATAAGATATTAGAATTATATATATACAGGATGGTCCACCACTCACTGACAACTTAAATAACTTTTGATCCGGTTAATATTTTTAGTTAATTTTTTTTTTTAATAATAGTTATACGTTAGGTCTATAGCTATATCTCTATAATTAATTTTTTTACATTTTATTAAAAATATTAATTATTTTTAAATTTTAAATAAAATGTAAAAAAAAATCTAAGATAGTTATTTTGTAGAGTAGAATTTAAGAAAAATTTTAGTAAAAAAATATCTTATTAATATTGAGTAGTAAATATTCTGTAGCGTCTTGAAGTTTATGAAAATTTGAATTTTCATGTATTATTTTACGGTATTAAACATTGAAATACGTATTGAGAAAAGGACAGAAGAAAACGCTATCTTTTCAATATACTTTTGAATGAGAGTGATAAGTAATAATTGCCTTATCTAATTTCTTATAATGGTATTAATGCCAAGTTTGAAATGTATACACATTATCATCATATGTATACACAGAAATCATGAAAAGATATATATATGAAGAAATTACCTTTAAAGTTTCAAGATATTTCCTTCAGTTTTCATACCGAATGAAATTAAAAAAATTGGTTTTCCTAATTTAACAAAAATATTATAATAGAAGATGTAGCTTCTATCATTTTCTTAAATATTTTTAAAATAATTAACTTTTTCATTTTAATTTTAAAAATAATCCAATAATCTTACGATACTAAGAAAACTTATTAAAATGAAATTTATGTAATATACTACGTTATTATGTCATAAATTTTTCTGAGGATATTTTATTTTTGGAGGATTTGTTAAAAAACACTTTTAATTATTATTTTTATTAAAATCACAATCTAAAATTATTATTAATATCTCAATTTTTGTTTACAAATAAGTGTATATATTATAAAAAATTATTTATCGGTTGTGTTAGCTTTTACTGTGAGGTATTTTTCAATTATAATTCTCTTCATGTCTAAATATAAAATTATTTATAACTTCTGAAATATTGTTACAGAAGTCAATATGGTAATAAATTTTTATTTTCAATCAATCTTAGAAAAATATATAATATAATTATTTATTACCTACTAAATTGTGTGACTTACCATGTTAAAATTCTTTGTAAGTTGTATAATTTCGTTTAAAAAGTTCCAATAAATTTATGCATAGACTTATCAGTTTATTTTATAATAAAATGTCATGTTATAATTATATCATGTTTAATTTATTAACTATTTAAATAAAAACTAGCATGCGTCACTATAACCATAAATATTTAATAATGTATTAAATTTGATTTGTTTTTTATCTTGGATGGTAGTTGAAAAGTTATTGGTTTTACTTTGCCGTGATTTTTTTTTTTTAAATGTATTTTGCGAATATTTTATTAATAAAACTTCAAACACTTGCCTTGTATTGTATTAGAATATTTACTTTTTAAAATTACTACAAATTAATGTTAATTGAATATATGATTAATAAAAGGAAAATGTTCTTTACTTAAAACTGCCATAACTTTTTTAAAAATGAACAATCAATATAATTTTTTTTTATAGATGATTAATGTCATTGCCTATCATTTGGTAAATTTTTTTTATAAATTTAACCCTTTACTAGACCACAGGGGGGATTCAAAATGACAACTTTTTCAACTTAACTTTTGAAAGTGTTCCGGAAATACTGACACTTTTATATATATCTTAAATTAAAGATAATGTAATATACATTATCATGAAAAAAAACAAAATTTCAGACTTTATTTTGTCTTCGTGGTGAAAATGGCTACCGAATGCTATTTTCGTGTGAAAATTCTTGATTTTATTTTTTACATTTTTAATTTTATAGTGCTATAACTTATTGAAAAGTGTATGGATCAACACAATTTTTTTTTGAGAAATAATATTTTTTAATAATCCTTTTTTCATTCAGGATATTAATAAGAAAATAGCAGATCATGTAGCTTTTGGAATAATCCACCAATTATTAAAATTAAACAGTATCTAAAGATTTGCTTCGAAGCGTTTTTTTTGATAGTGATTTTTATCACAGTCAGTTATCATTATACTCGAACCAACCTTGCCACGTCATCACTCTGCCGCAAACCCCCTGTGCTGGGTTTTTTAATTTTTAATAATATGTGAAAAATTTTAATTATCTCTGAAATATATGATTGAATATCTGTGTTAAATTCCTATTATTCGTTTTTTTTTTAAATTTATTTTTTATTCTATTTATAATTGTTGTGTCATAAATCTAAGGTATTTTTATAAAACCTTATACTACTATAATGATTGATATTTATATTTTAGCTTCGATGCGAAGCTGAGAAGGTATTAATTTTACTATGATGTGTTTTTTTTTTTTTTTTTTNGACCTCTGGACTTGTCTTCGTGGTGAAAACGGACATTAAAGTTAAAGAAAAACGTATGATATCCGTGAAAAAAATCTCGATTTTATATGTTATATTATTTAATTTATATTTTATATAACTTTTGGAAAAATGTATGGATCAATATTATTATTTTTTTATAATAAATATTGATATACTCCTTTCATCTGGCACGCTTTTTTTGTAAATCGGATCATACCCCTTTAACAAGGGGGGTCAAAACTTTAAACATGCGTATTGTTACTACGATATTTTCAATTTAATTTTTGAAAGTATTCCGGAAATACTGACACTTTTAAATATATCTTAAATTAAAGCTTATGTAATATACTTTAAT